ATGGAATAACGCATTGCATCAAACGTAATTCACAATTTCACATAACACACGACAAATTTAACCAATTAGCATCTCCTCTCAGATCTTAGACAAAAATCCCCAATAAAATTGTTAATAAATTTCACTGTTAATAAGTAATACAATATACATACTACGGATCATTACGTGTAAAGATTACAATTTCGGTTGTGTTTTTAAATAGGATAATTATAGCAATACTATACGAGTTATTTGTGATTAAGGAAGACAGGTTCTACCAAACTAAATGATACACATACTTATGATAATGTATTTTAAATTTCAATTTATTAAATTATCCCAAACACAAGTATACTGCACAGATTTTTGCATGCACGGCCCATCCACCTTCCCCAGAGAGACAGTAGACTAGTTTAACCATTGACGATTGCGTAGCAGCTTGGGATTTCCAAAATCTATACCCGCCATTAAACTTCAACATTGCAGTGAAGCTTATGACGTTTAATGCAACGTATGGAATAACGCATTGCATCAAACGTAATTCACAATTTCACATAACACTTTCAAATCGGAAGAAATCCAGTGGCGCCGTCTGTAATTGCCGTTGAAAGAAACGTCCATTTTTGTAAATATTTTGGTCTTCAAATTTTCAACGATATTTTACTCGAATACAGTTTACCGGGAATAAATTCGCATTCGAAATTTACTACAAATAAATAATTTGGTAAATTTTAAAGTAATAGCCTGGTCGTGTCGCTTCTACGATAGTTTTTTGAAAAGGTTGCGTAGTGACCGCGTGACGTTCTATTATTTCGTCGTTAATCCCGATACGGAAGTAACGACGCGTTATTTAAAACGTATTATTGCTCATCAATTGTATAGAATACTTGATTTGTAGAAGTATTCGCTTCTCCTTTTGAATTTCTTGAAATCTCTACTCCGGGCGAGGCGCGAACCCACAAAAAGTCCGTTACTACACAAAAATGCCTTGTATTGGCGGAGAGTGGATATGAAAATAACAGAAATTCTGTGACATGTTACGGGAATGAGGTCAATATTTATTTTCCAAATCAAATTAAATGTATAAAAATTATTTAATTTTGATATGTTTAATTTTATTTGTACCGAACAAGTTCGAACTTATTTATATGCAATGTTTATAATATACGTCCCTTCCAATTATCATGTCTTACAGCCTTCATTACAGAAGTAAAAAATACGTTCAGAAAAGAAGAAATCTACTTACATTTTTCTTCAGACGAATTTACGAAATTGACGTAAGAAGTATTGTAAGTTGTATTTTAATTATAAGAAGTGTTATCTGACAAAATAGTCTTCCGCTTCACTAGTGAGCCTCCTCCTATTTATCTTTCCAATCCAATCAATGACGAGATTTTTCCTTCAAACCTTTCAAGAGAAAAAGTTCTGTATCGATGGGAATTCCAGAGCTTTTATTCCTTTTACGTTACATTCGAAAGCGCAAGAAGAAATTCGCCGATAACACGTCTCACAACAATTGACACTGTTAGAAGAGAGTTCAATCTGCCCGCACCTTTTCTGTGTTCAATTCGTTTCGGTAGAAATACCGGTTTACACTTCGTCAAAAATGGAAAAGTAAACTAACGGGTGATTTCATTTTCTATTGTTCTGTGACAATCACTCCTTATATTTAGCCTACAGTATATGTGCGCGCGTATGCGTGTATGTGAATTTCTCATAACTCCTGCAATTTTTGTCCAATCCAGATAATTATCTTTATTTAATTTAACAAAAATTATTCGAAAAGACGTAGTCGAGTGGCAATGACATCGAAGACAGGTCGCGTGACACTGGGACAACAAATTTATGCAATGGCGGCTGCAACAGTGGAGAGTCGCTAAGTATTTCTATGATTTTTCTGTTTATAGGGCTTTTTATACGAGTGAGCATTAAAATATTCAAATGCGTATTGCGCGTGCCTCGATTGTAAATAAAATTAAGAGACAAAGCGTTGGTATATCGCTTATAAATAAATACCAAGTTTTTCAGTTTATCAATAACAGAAACAGAAAGAAAATAAACGTAAAAATTGTTTAATGTAGAGTTTCTAGATTATCAGAGTAGCGACAACGGGTTGTCAAATTGTCTATTGGTTAGTTATATCACGTGGTCAAAATCCGCCGTGTTCTGTCAAAAAGTGCGCGTGGCTCTGTATATTTTGAATGGTAAGTGTCGTTTATAAAGAAAACTAAAAGTTTTTGAACACATTTGACAACAGGTAGGCATGACTTTGCTATATATTAATGCTTACGAGCTTTTAATTTAATTTAATTTAATTTAAGCTTTTAATTTAAGCTTTAATTAATATAAGGCAACAAATGAAAAATTCGATAGTTAGCGTAGCTGTTTACGTTAGATCCGATATCCGCTTAAGCGTTGTGATTAAAACAAAAAATATATATATTAACTGTTTGTATTGTATAAAAAGAAGTACAAAAATTAGCGTGAGGTAGCTAAATATAACCGAAATCTCATTTTCTACTAATTTTTCCGAAATTATTGCTCTTTAGAAAACCGTCCATCCACCAACAAGTAAGTATATGTATGTTTAAAGAACATTTTGTGTTTATAACTAAGCATAAATTGTTATATTTTGCATGTTCCTTTTACTATAATAACTTAAAAATGTATTATCTGACTGGAGTACTGTAATAATTACGCTGTACTGTAGTTTTGTTCCAACATAATAAATTATATAGATTAAGGTTTGTGACTATTTCTCTTTAAACACATAAAAATATTGTTATAGAAAAGTATTATTTATAATAAAACTAAACATTTACGTGTACTGTAGTACCTAAAAAATTAGTTTGTTATCCTGCTCGAAACAAATTTAATTCTACTATTCGTAAGTCTTCTTTAATACATCTTGTACAATAACAATACAAAGACACACTAGTACTTTGGACCTTATTGAAAGGCAGGGTTCGCAGCATTTATTTGGTAATATCATTTGTAAAGCTAATACAATTTAGAAGGCATATAAAAATTTATTATGCAAATGATTCTTTTACGTATTGTTATTCTGCCGAATGCATTCAAGGTATCTTAAAAGTCATTTTGAATCCAGTTTTAGAATATACCCTTTAATTTTATTACGCAGATATCATTGAAATAATGCATGGATGTTCGGCTTTTGGTTGTTCTAATTCTTCTGTAAAAGAATCCCGTTCGGAGAAAAATCTAGGCTAAAAAAAGCGCCAGAAAATTGGAAAACTACAAATAATTCTTGTTTGTGTGAAGTTCATTTTGAACCACGAATGTTGAAAAAAGTGAGAATTGATGACTCGATGCGAAGGCGAAATTAAAGCATAATGCCATTCCAACTTTGTTTTCATTCACAGAAACCACCTAAAGGAAGATCCTTCACTGTTATAAAACAAGTAAAATTGCAAAAGTTACTTCTCCGGTACATACTACTTGTACTATTGTTACACCATCAACAAATTTTGAAACATCTTCAACATTTATAGACGTTTAAAAACTCGAATTTAAGAGCAATTTTAAATTAATTTCGGTATCTCAATATTTAAAAAATGTGTCAAAAGGGAGTTATTGTGACGTCACAATGCCGGGCTGAAATATTTCTAATTTATTTCATTTAAAATATATCCTTCTCGTCACAAATTAGTAGTGACTCGAACCCGCACGCCATACTTTTCCTTTAACAGTAGAGTCACGCTGGTCGTCTGTTAACTGCTTTCGGAGGAAAGGTTTTGAATTGAATAACGTGACTTCCGTTTTGCATGGGATGTTCTTATACAGTTAATCCTGGCCTTCTGTCTGCGAAGTTTTCACGTCTTTTCTCGGATCGCATTCGCTTAACTCCTTTCTCGAGATTCAGGGCAGACGGACGACAGTGATAATTTATAGGTTTATATTTACAGTAGATCCCCCTATAAAAGCGTTTCCTATAGTTATGATTCCTATAAAAATTGTGGCATTATCCGTAAACAACGGTAAAAATAACTCCTATAATACGTAAAACGTCATCCGGCAGCCGAACTACTTACCCGCCGTCCGCCACGCTACGGAGAGATTTCTATCGTCTGGACAGTATTATATAAATTATATATAAATTAGGTACTGTACATATAATTNATTAATATGCATAGAGTTATTACAAATTTCATGTTTATTTTACATTCATATTGTTAAACTTCCGTTAACAGTTATCTATATTGTTAGCAATAAAATCATTTTTACACTATATTTTTCTATGTGCAGATTTAGTGTGAATTTCATTGTTTATGTTGAAATTGCTACAAAATTAATTTTTTCGAAGTTCTTATTGGAAGTAAGCGATTTCTTTAGAATATTAAAATAGTGCAATACGTAGGAAAAAACCATTAAATAAAATCTTAATGTACTAATCATTTATCAAGAAATAACGATGGCAATTTATTTTAACAGCACTACAGGAAATATTGACAGTACAGACTGTATCTACATCTCTGATACAACAGAATCTTTCCTACTGTACAATATTTTAAATTTATAACAAATAATTATAATAGATAATAAACAACAACTACTGTTATTGTTACAGAAATCAGATCAGACATCTGAGAATAACCTGTCTAAAAAGTCCAATCCTTGTATGAAAAAACAAAAAAACTTAAAAAAACACGAGAATATGTTGGATGTTGCTTTAAAAACATTTACTGCAACATCAAAATTCTAAATAAAACTCGAAAAGAAGACAGAATTCATTACTTCTGTAAAAGTCTCAACGTTTGACTAAGAGAACTTTGTAAAAAGATTATTATTGTGATATTTAATAGTATGATAATTCAAATTACGTTTAAAACGGAACTTTTGTAAGTACTAAGTACACGAGAATGACTTTTACCCTGTATGAATTCGCAGATGTGAAATCAGATTTCTTTTCCGCGTAAAACTTCGTTTGCAATGATCACAGGTAAANTTTCTTGTTTTGATGTTAAATAAAATCTAAATACGAATATTAATAAGAAAAAATACTTTTGTTAACATTTTCTTCGTAACAAATACTGTTGTTCATTATCATTACGATATTTAATAATATGGTAATTTAAATTACGTTTAAAACGGAACTTTTGTAAGCAATAAGTACACGATAACGCCTTTTACTCCGAATGAGTTCGCAGATGTCGAATCAGAGCTGTTTTCCGTGTAAAACTTCGTTTGCAATGATCACAGGTAAAGGGTTTCTCCCCTGTGTGAGTTTGCAGATGTTCAATCAGAGTTCCTTTCTGTGTAAAACTTCGTTTGCAATGATCACAGGTAAAGGGTTTCTCCCCTGTGTGAGTACGCAGATGATCAATCAACACATTTTTGTATGTGAAACTTCGTTTGCAATGGTCACAAGTGAAAGGTTTCTCCCCGGTGTGAATCTTGACGTGGTTATATAGACTGCTGGAATAATTGAACTGACGAGTACAGAATTTACAAGACAAGAGCCCTTCTCCAGTGTGAATCCTTTGATGACATTTTAAATTACACTTCGAAGCGAATTCTTTCTCGCAACTGTCACATCGATACTTCCCATTCTTTGACTTCCGAATGTTTAAACCTGTAAAATACGAGAAATAAAAATATTAAAAGCATCGTCTAAAAATCGAAACTCTCTTCAATTTATTGTCAAATCAAATATGTAAATTTAAGCGCTCTATTTTTAACGTTTTGCTTGCAGATAGAAAACTAATTTTCACTTTTCCCACGAGTTTCTTTAAATTAAAATTTACGAGTTACAACCAACTCCGATTTGACACCATACACTAACTGCTTACACCAGTGTTCACAAATATTAACAACAGGCATAAATACTATCACAAATTAATGTAATTTATACAGTTTTTTTCTGGACACAATTTCTATGCATTTTGAAACAAAAGATGTAGATAATAATCTTAAAATATCTTCATTAAATTTTCTGTTTGTCTTCATTTTCATGGAATATGCTTTCTCCTTTGATGGAATTCATCGTGTATGATTTCTTATCACTGGCTTCACTTTATCTCTTATAAACAAAAGTTTAACACCTTCTTCAGCTCTTATTGGAAATGGTCTTAGTTGGTGGATGGTGGTGGATCTGAAAATAACAAAAAGCTCTGCGTGAAACAAGACACCAGAATGAGGTCAAAACATTACTTTTTTTTCATAAAATTAAGTATTTTAAAAGTAAAACTAATAATTCTGGAAATTCTTCGACGTTTCGCACCAGAAAAGTATATCTTCGTCAAAAATCTGAAAAAAAAAATTGAGTTAATATTGGTTCTTAACCACTGACAAATACTTTAATAAGGAATAGTAATTTATTGTTGAGAAGATTGTTGATTTTATTCTTTTATTTCTTATTTTCTAGTTTAGTTTACTTTAATTTCATTATTACACTCCTTTTTTCTTCTTTTTTATCTGTACTTTTCATCATATTTTTTTCCTTTTCTAAACAACAAATTACAGTACTTATAACCTACCTGGAGTGTTCCACGAAAGGAAATATTTTAAAGTTTTTATTCAAATTTATTCCCATTGTAATATTCGTAGACAATACCGTGTTTTCATTTTATTCAATATGTTAAAGTTTGTTAGTGTATTGCTTCATTGTTTTCTGAGAATAATAAACGTGGAGTTGCTTATCAAGTTTTGAATGTATTGATGCCAATGCTCCGTGTAATATAAAGTATATGAACTTTTACGAGATTTTATCATAAAAATTTTATATATTTTTAATTATTATAGAATAGCAAAGGACTTAATTTTGAGAGTACAGATGAGTTTTATAATGATCTGTAAACGCTAATAGCAAGTAAAATCTTCATTAAGCACAATCTCGTGCGAGATACGACACGTGACTACCCTCTATCTCCATTCCCCTCGACCTTTCATCACCAAAATTTAACATCCTCAATGTCCCTTATACACAAACTACCGTGTTCCAAATTTCACACCTTCCTGTGATTTTAAGTGGAATAGACGACAACACACGTACAAACACATATCCACGAAATTTTTTGTGGTTTTTGGCTTCAGGAAGTCTCGAAACGTGAAAAATTGCAAAAAACTCGGAGGGTCACATTTGACACGATTCCATTAATTTCCCTTGTTATATATACGTAACAGCCGAGAAAGTAAAAGTAATAGTTCCGAACAATGTTTAAAATTCATATATTGTATTGTACTTGCAGATCGTATACTTTAAAAAACTCGTTAATAACAACTCACTATTTCGTAATGTTAAATATGCACTATGTAAAAATAATACTAATATTTAAATTAATATTGTTCAATAACACTATAATAAAAATAATTACTAACATTTAACCTTTACTATTTCATACAAATAAAAAAATACTATCTCTTGTACCGGAGTTAATATACAGGTTATTGCGTAGCTGTTTATTCTCCGAAGAGGCTAGGGAATGCTTTCCGAGAGGTCTTTTAAGGGTATCTGGCCCCTCTTTAGGCGTTAAAATCGTGAAAAAACTCTTAAAATTCCACGTGGCCAGCCTGTTCTGGCCGGGAGCACAACCACGCCTGAACTATTAGTGTTCGGGAAACTGAACCGCTCGGCCACTAGTGGGACTATCTTATTACTGTAAAGTCTCGTTTTATGCGGTGGATACGTTCTACAGAAAAGCGCATATAAAAAGACTTTACTTGCCTTGAAAAAGTAGGGATACGTTCCTTAGTTTTCTAAAATCGCATAAAACCAAAACAACGAGTTAAAATTAACTTAAAACCGCATAAAAAAGTTTGCAGAAATTAAAAGAAATAGGCTGATTAATAAATTACTTCGAATGTCTGAAAGAAATCAATATAAAAGCTTAAAATAAACTTGTATTCAAACTTAATTCAGTTTATTTTATTGAAAAGTAATATAGTTTTACATTTTTTTTGAATTTTTGGAATGTTTTTTAAGTCTCCAAATTTTTTAAAAATATTAAAAAATATACGGCCAGCTTCACCCTACTTTAAACCCTTGTCCTCCCGCGACGTTTATGAGAATGCCCCGGGAAATCCAACTCCAGCTGTGTTCAAGGTCATCCAGATGTATAAA